CGGCACCAATTTAGATATGTCGACAGCGGATTACCCGCAGACCGATGGCCAAACCGAAAGGGTGAATCGCGTCAACAAAGACGTTCTTCGCAGCGTCTACACTGAGACGCTGAAACGCCGAGGCGCTGGAGCGCCATGTTGCCACTCGTAAAGTTTGCGCTAAACAATGCAGTGCATTCGTCTACCTGCTACACGCCAGGTGACGTGAACGGGATGATTCACCCTCGCGTTCTGCTGACGCCGTCATCCCATGGCTCAGGGCCCTGTGGGGGAGGAATAGCCGGACAGCTAGCTGATGTCTGCTCCATCACCATCCGTTAAGAAGTCGCTGACTTCTTGTCTACCAGACTGAGTGTCCTACGACACGTTCGCGATGCGATGGCTGAAAGATAAGACCTGCAAAAAGAATATGCAGATGAAAAAGGAAGAGGCAGAGTGGAAAGCTTTAAGGTCGGAGACCTGGTTTTATCAAATTCTAAGAAGCTGCCTACACAAGCAGCCTCTGCTATCTTCCGGACGAAGCTTCGTCTACGGTTGATTGGACCATTCAAGGTTGCGGCCAAGCGGGGCCTAGCGTATACACTAAACCTTCCAAACGGATGCGCACCCACCCGGTGTTTTACGTGGGCTTGCTCAAGCCGTACCGGGATCCGGTGCATGTGAACGCGGAAGCGTTGGCGCCAGAGCGGATCCCACGGGACCTCGGCCACCCAGAAACTGTACCAGCAACCGATTCTGGGCACGGTTTGCAGCAACCTCCATTTCTAATGGCGCCAAGCTCTCCTCCATCACATGCAGCGACGCATTCGCCTGCTCCACGGCTAGGAGTCACTCCGACAGAGCGCGGTAGTCCTCAAGGCTAGGCAGCCGGTGCGCGACGTGCTTTAAATAGCCAAGAGCGTCCACACAGCGATATGCTACTTCGGCATGACGCTCAGCGGAGCTTTGATCACGAAGAACCTCGTCCTCAAGGTCTCGAAGAGCATCACGAGTCACCGGACGGCGGTCGATCCGGTTGTCACCGCTCGCCACCGGCTCTTCTCGATGAGAACGATGACGTCTACTATCACGTGGAACGTCTTGTGGGACGACGTCGTCACCAGGGTCAAACCAAATATCTGGCGAAGTGGCGGGGATATCCCGACTCCGAAAACTCGTGGGAGTTTCAGACGCTACTTTGGCAAGATTATACGGTCGCCATGGACGCTAAAGATCAGGACACCCCGGGCCATCAGACGCTCCGCGCTTCCCGGCAATAGCCAGAGAAGTAGGAGGGCCATGAACTGAGCTCAAGCAGTGACTCTGAGCTCTTGCGGTTGAAGACACAGAGCTCGCGGGAGCATTAGGGGTTAACTCATACGTCGCAGGGCGACAATCCGAAGGAGGTCGACGGCGTGCCTTGAGTTTGACAAACTCAAATCGGAGGTATTGTTCCACACGCACGTCCATTTCCTTGTGGCTCAACTGTAGGTTATACTGTGAGGAAGGTTTCCGGTGCCGTTGCACCCATCGCTCAAAGAGCGCTTCGTCATCTGTAGTGCTTCTACCATCACAGGTATTGTTCGCATTAGGGGTACACGAGAGCCACCTCGTTGAGCACTCATACGAGTGCGATAAGCTCCAACGGAATTTCTTGTGGAACCAAGAAACGAGATTGTAGAGCTCCGTGTGGCAAGTTCATCATCCGTTCTGGCCGGGGGCCAGATGATGTGGCGCGTAACGATCGGGTTACGGCGTCCTTCGCTTCCAGAGCGGGATTCGCTGGGCGGAAGCCATATTCCACACGAGGATCAATGACCGGCCGTGGATGGGCGCGCTTTAGAGCCG